CACCTTTAGTCATACTGGTGTGTTCCATCACAAATTTTCACAATTGATGGGAGCCTACCTTCCATCGGTCTTCGTTGGGGCTAGTCTTTTGCTGCTGGCTTGGCGTGTACCAAGTATAATTTGCATTGCATGTATGTGCCCTGTGTTTGGTATCCTGTTCGGTAGCCTGATGATGTAATGATGACAGTATAAAATAAACGGGTACAGTAGTCAAAAACAACTAAAATGGAAAACATATAATGCAATACATGGTATTCTGTACTAGGGGCTGCACAACTATAGCAAAGAAAAATCCAAAAATACTATTGGACAAAATGGCCATGGAAATGAAACAGAGAGCAGTGAGCTGGAGACTGGAGATGTTGACCCTGAGGAAACGTAATATTTAATTTCTTTGTTGTGTTGCAAATCTTACAGATACACTTCAAAAAGAAAAACACTTACTTCCTGACACATTTCCAAAAGAATATTTTTGTCAAATTCCTCCAGTTCATTGAAAAAAAAACATGCCACCATTTTACCTTCTAAAGTTTGTGATTCTGTATGAATATGCTTACATGTAACATGCACAACACATTTTACCTTTTGTGGCAAGTTGGTCCATGGAAGTATCCCGCCTTCCTTTTGTTCTGTCCATGATGAATTTTATTTTATCTCCAGAGAAGGGTGGGCATGTACTGTATTGTGCAGGTCTGAGTTGAGGTACTGGTACAAGCTATGTATTTATTCATCATCCTCAAGGTACACAGGCATTTGGATTTTGCTTCCAGCATACCCTGTTTTGAGCCACACAGATGAAACATGTGTTCCAATGATGTCCTAAATTTGTAGAATGTTATTTCATTATTTATAGCAAAAGATAAAGAGGTCATCGGCCAAAAAAGATAATTGCAAATACAAAATTATGGCCAACCAAAATATTACACAACGTATAAGAAGATTGAGCCTCTGCTCCTCATTGGGAATTTATGTGATGTAGCAGGTTTTCACTGCCCTGTATCCAGGAATACCCAGCAAGTTCAACCTCTCTGCTGGTCTTCACCCTGCATTCTACATCTGACCGAAACCTCATCACAAAGAAAGTATACCTAATTCTATAATACCTCTCAGTGTAAAGCACTGTGCTTGATACTGTTCCAGACCACTGGATGATGGTGAGGCACCACCATCTCCTGAACTTTGGCATGTCAAACTGAATATAATAAGACAAACGCCACATTGTGAAAATGACATGGACTCAATTTGGAAAAAGGACACTTTTTGTCTTATAGAAGACAATGCATCATTCTACAGCATTGCAAAAAATATTTTTGAAGTAGTTTGAAGTGAAATACTTACAGCAGTAAAATGGAACGTCTCCCCCAAGGCCATGTAGAGTGAATACTGATAAAAGGGAGGCAAGGGGAGGGGGGCAAAACTTCAATACCATCAACATGAACACACCACAGTTCACAAGCTTATTCAGTTTGCCAGCTTGCTGCAAATAAAAATTTGAAATTGCTGGGGGGATTATAACTACATCTTTTCATGTAAGTCTGATTAAAACTTTATGTAGGTATTAATGGATACACAGAACACCATTTGTCACATTTGCACATGTTTCACTGTGCATCTCTCAGAATGACAGTGGTAATGATCAGCATGCATGCAGTCAAGGCTGCACCTATTTATTATGAATTCTGTTGAGGAAATTTTCAATGTATAAACATTTATATTAATTCATCAATTTGAAACACTGTTATACAAAGCAACTTACAAAATGCATGTAGTTGCACTTATTCAAGAGATTAAAACATACAGACAATACATAACATGGTACAACAAATAAGCACTGTTATGAGAACATCAAATCAACTTCATTCACCAGAGTTTAGGAAATTACAAGAAAATCTAATTTGGTTAATACAATTACACAAACCAGATAATTCCACAATTGACTTGAAATGAAACTCCATTTTTGCGTGCAATCTATATGTCTCTGGGCTCGTAGTATGTTGTTGGCTTAAACATTGTTACTGGGCATAACAGGCAATGGAAATGATTGCAACAAATAGCACACCTTGATAACTGAAGTACAGTATTCCTTTTCCAAATTGACCTGTGCATCTGTTAGTCAAAATCAAATAAGAAACACCCTAAAAATGACTCTGCATCCATTTAGGATTTTTTGAATGAGGGAGATTAACAGCTGGCAATTTGAGTCAGCCTAATTTACACTTGTATATATGTATGTGAGAGTGATATGACAACACTATTCAATAGACTCATAATACAGATTTAAACGATCAACTGAAAGGAGTAACAACCTAAGCACGAATTGTGTTTTGTAGCAGCCAAACAATAGCAAACAAAAACCATTCCCAAACTTGAAAACAAAGTGAATAAAAACCATTGCACTTCTAAACATAGCAAAAATGTTCCCATGCTTCTTGAAGAACTATCAATTAAATGGATTTACACAATTAACACTAAACTGTACTTATCATTCCAACTTCCCTGGTGGTCTAGTGGTTAGGATTCTGTGCTTTCACCTCTGTGGCCCAAGTTTGATTCCCTGTCAGGGAATAGGGTTTATGGGCAGTGGTTTGAATCCCCAACCAGTAAGGTACCACTCCCCGGGTACTGAATTAGCTGCCCCCTGCTATGTCACATATGGGTTAAATGTAGAGGACACATTTTGTTGTTGTGCGGTTTGACCACTGAACACTAAATTCTAATTCCTTCTGCAATGTCTTGCCCGACATCACAGAAATCCCCGACCAGTAAGGTACCACTCCCCGGGTACTGAATTAGCTGCCCCCTGCTATGTCACATATGGGTTAAATGTAGAGGACACATTTTGTTGTTGTGCGGTTTGACCACTGAACACTAAATTCTAATTCCTTCTGCAATGTCTTGCCCGACATCACAGAAATCATGATTAAACACTGGATATATGCCACTACAGCTTCTCTCTCTTTACAGCTCTGAATGAATCCTCACCTGGGCTCGTGATGGTATTCTCAGAGGTGTTCATGTCCTTGTGTCTTAATCACATGACCAGCGATTAGTCAGTGCCAAGCTTAAAGCAACATCACAGAGCAGTAGTTGATTTGTTGACTAGTCTGTGCAACCCCTATTCCAGGGGTCTCCAATTCTGATCCTGGAGAGCTTCTCCAGGCTGCACTGCTCCTGCTACATGAACTCGAGAGCTGCTTCTCGTCTGCTCTTGCCGGTCTACTAGCTGACTGTGCTCCTGGTTAACTGGATCTCCAAACCGCGACACGCCTCCTCGTGGCCGTGTAGCACCGCCTTGTGGCTGAGTAACACCTCCTCCACTGCCTCAGCATGACACTTCTGACTGTCCTGCTCTCACTCCCAAATGGCCAGCTCCTTGTGGAAGCCGCTCCCATTCCTGCTGGCTTTGCTGCTGCTGCCCGTTCAGCTTGTGGCACACCTGAGCCAGCTAAGCCTCCTGCATGCATCACACCTCCACGTGGCTGGCAAGCTGAGAGCCACTGCAGGCTGGAAAATGGTCAGAGTCCCCAGAAGCTCCTGCATTCCTCATTTGCTGACATCATCTTGGATGGAGGTTCAGTGAGCTGGCAGAGGCAGCTTGAGGACACACTGCATGGGTCTGGGCCACTTCGGAAGGTCGAGGCACCACTTCCCTCACTGTGTCACACCTAGTTGGTCTCCTGGCAGCTTTGGAATGGGCTTTTGGACAAAAGCATTCCGGGTGTACCCTCTTGCTGCAGCAATAGCAAATGAGCTTTTTCTCCTGGATTTCTGGACTAGGCTGTAGATTGATGTTATGGAGAGCTCACTCTTGTAACAGCAGCTCACTTTCTATGCACTTATACTGCTCACTGTATTGGTCACCCCAACTACTCACACCACAAATGGTGGACACACACACACACACACACACACACACACACACACACAGACAGACAGACAGAGCTATTTACAACACAACACAATAAGCACTATACATGAGATCACAACACAATAACAGCACAGCAGATGCCAATTAAACACAACTATTTCCATTGGCAAAGACGAGGGCTAAATATTTACAAGATTCACAGAGCATGCTGGGAAATGTTAATGAACTTCCTTGTGCGGAGCCATCTGTTACATTCATAAAACTGATGTGGCTTCTGCGTATGATCTTTAAACTGTATTTTATAATACCGTTGTGATTTTCATTAGAGAGTCACTATTATAAAATATTGTAATGAACACGCGACAGACCACATGCTTTTTGGCCACTTTGCACCATCCCACTAGACGCTCACTATGCGTTCTAGGTGGCTGGGGTGGAGAGGTATGTAGGGCCCGCCCGCCCCCTCATAGCGATTGACAGCACACCTTCATTGTGAAAAGCTGCATTATGGAATAAAAAGCTGGTCCGGAAAACCGTCATTCGGAAATATTTTGACGTGAAAAGTTGAACTTTATTGTGCAATATCATTTGAATTATTGATGATCACTTGAATTCTGCTTAATAATATTCACAAATAATGACTAAAGAAAATCACAACGTTATTACGAAATATAAAGATCATAGGTAGACGAAACGTTGTTATGAAATACAATATGTTTTTTTTAATTAAAAATGAAAAGGACACAATTATTTAAATATATATTAATTTATTTTAATATTCAATTAAAATTTATCCGTGTAGCACAATATTCACAACATTTACAGTGTCTAAAAAAGCTTTACATTATCCCTGCCCAAAAGCCCCTGGGCAATAAGCCTGAGGCGATAGTGGTAAGGAAAAAGAAAAACACTCTAGTAGGAAGAAACCTTGGGAGGAACCTGACTCAAAAGGGGAGCCCATCTTCCATGGGTCGTAGAGGAAGTCAAATTAGCAAGATGGCAAAATCCTCATTTACACTCTCCAAATATTAACATACGAGTCTAAATGCGGAGGGCAGGCAGCTGTTGGCAGACAGGTGCTGGTGCTGCGTCTGACGGCAGGATGAACAGTGGCACGGCAGCAGGGCAGGCAGGTGATATGCATATATTTTTATTTTGAGTACTATAGCGTTCCATACCTACAACTCCCACCGTGCACGGCGGTCTAATGCATCAGCGGATGGACAGTAAAAACATAGGACGTCATCAGCGCTGTCCCTAGCTTCGGACTTCCTTTGTGTGTACTAATACGCTGAGAAGACGATTCGGTGGAACTACCCGATACAAGCAGGTAAATATGCAACGTATATCTTGCAAATTGAAAAAATACGGATATATCTATCGCACTCGCTAAAGTGGTGGTTTTGATGTAATTAAGACAACCTTAAATGACAGTAAACGAGCAACGGAAATACGGCCAGCTATAACTGAACACATCCGTTACACAAATGTATTTATACTCTATTTTAACATTGTATCTATTTATCTATGAAAAAATATAAGCGCAGATCGATTTTAGGCCGGGTGCTTAGCTAGGTGGCACCCGCCTACTGATGATCTAACTCAATCACAGCGTTTATTGCATATCAGATTGAAAACACAATGAAATATTGTCATTTTCATTGTGTTACACAGGGTGTAGTTATTAGACGATCTTTTTTTTATTGTAGCAAACAGCGCTTGAAGATAATAGTTTTTAATATGTTTTGTTGACTAGACAAAATGTTTGATCGACCGGTTGCTCCGTATGTTTGAGTGATTGATCCATCAAAATCAAAGTGCAGCTTAAACGAAAAACTCGTATTATTGTGGATGTATACGGAAATTTAATTGATTATACCTACGGTTACTGGATTTTACGGCGTCCTAGGCCTTAAAGTCACTTCTGGTTAACGGCCAATCCCAGTGACGAATATGAGTTCTGAATCGACTGTATAAGACATGTAAAGGTTTCGGAGTATTCTTTTAAGTGATGTATACATGATGCCAGTTGCATTGACTGCGTGCACCCTGTACAGGTTACTAAACTAGGTTTACCATACGATTTAAAGTAGTAGACACTTTTACCAAAGAAGCCTATGTATGTATGATATACCATAGTATTTAATATAATACAATCTAATTCTGTGAGAGATGGATTAAATTTAAAATTAGTATTTTTGTTTATCTGCTTATTTTTTGTATTATGCATGAAAATAAGTTTTGTCAAGGCATGGAAGTTTGATCCAGGGTCCTGGTGAATGAAGCACTTGAAGATGGATTCAGTGGCTAGCCCAATCAGTGAGCAAATGCCACCAGAGGGAGGTGTGGTCATTGAAAGAAATGAACATATTAAGGATCTCAAACAGGCAGCACCCAACTCCAAGGACAGAGGTATGCAGAAACAGGCAGTGTCGGGACATATTGCCCCACTTGCCAGAAAGGACATTCCGCAAAAGAAAGACCGCATGGACCCATTGAAGATAGACATGTCCAAGACTATTGTTGCACCACCTACTTGTAAGTACCACTTGTTTAATTACTTATTTGGACTACAAACTGATTTTGATTAGTTGTTTTTTAACTGCTATTTAATACAGTTACTGCAACTAAAAACACATAAGACTGTACTTTAGTTAAAGCATGTTACCTAGTAATGTGGTGTTTTTAGAGTCTTGCTATCCCTCATCTGCCAACTTATTTCCTTTGTCTACAGCGGCACAGTTGTCGTTACAGTGCATAGAGTGCCATATTATTTTCAGTGACATGAAGAGTAAAGAGCGGCATCTTAAACACAGCCACCCAGCAGAGTATGAGCAGTGCATGCTGGGGGATGCCCTTTTCGCCTGCTATGTCTGCGATCGCCACTTTACATGCTCCAGTGAGCTCATGGCCCACCAGCGTACCCACACGGAAAAGCACCCCTTCAAATGTCCCATTTGTGGTGATTCGTTTGGGAGGTCCTCGGAGCTGACCCTTCACAAGAAGATCCACTTTGGCACACATGGGTACACCTGCTCAGAATGTGGCAAGCCCTGCAAGACGCTGACCCTGCTGAAGTATCATCAGCGCACACACACTGGAGAGAGGCCCTATGTGTGCAAGGATTGTGGCAAAAGGTTCAGCATGTCAAAAACTCTCCAAAAGCATCGTGTCATACACTCACAGGGTGAAATGGAAGGAGTTAACGATGGGACTATTCTTTCGAACCCTGCCACTTCTAAAGCATGCATAAGGAGGATTTCTGTTCCAGCAGCCATGGCACAGAGTGAGTGTACCTGTGCTTTGTGTGACTTTATGCATGTATAGATTTTTTCTTTTTATTGAAGTTTTCCACATCATGACATGGAAATTATTTGGAATGAAGCAGAGGTGGAAATTGCCGTTGTGTGTGATGCTTAATTGTGAATCTCATTATCTTTTACTGTTTTAGGCAAACCCTTTGCATGCTCATTGTGTAATGCGACCTTCAAGAGTGCTAAAACTCGACTGCAACATATGAAACACAAACACCCCCATAGTGGAGAGAGAATGCATAATAGTACCATACCTGATGGGGAACCACTAAAGGAAGGCTCCCTAACAGAATCTCAAATAAAGACATGTGAAACAACGGAGGCTCTAGAAAACATGGTCATGTTTGAACAAGGCCAGACATTACAGGTGATGGAAACACTTGGACAAGAACAAATGCAACAGCTAGCTGCATTTATAGAGACTTTGGGACATGATGAGTCTGTGAGACAAGTTCAGATAGTGGTGCCAGAACAGTTACAAGGAGAGCCTGAACAGTCACAAGAACAGAATTGTAGTGCAGGACCGGAACTTGCACAGCAACAGATGGTGACAGTGGACAGTGGACAATTGGAACATTTGAAAGAAACTGAACTGGAGCAGCTGCAAGGATCAGCAAAGGAAACTGAACTGGAGCAAGCAGAACTGCAAATGGAGACATTGGAAATTCAGTTCACACAGGCCCATGTGGAGACAATGATAGAGGCACCAGTGGAAGGACACAAAGAAGGGCTTCAGCTGGAGCAAATAAAACTCATGGAATCCAAACAGGTGGATGTACAAGCCAATCAAATGGAAGAGACCCAAAGACAAGAGCAAAATGAACGACTGGAACAGGAAGTAATGGGGGAACTGGAACTGAGACACACTGTTCAGTGTGATGAGTCTCATGGGGAGATGGACTTGGCGATTGTGGGTCCAGATCAAGGACAGGTACGTGAACAAGCTGGGACACAACAAAAAAAGAGCAATCAACAGGCAGAGGCACAGCAACAAAAGGAAGATGAACTACCATCTCAGTCTAGCGATGAGGTACAGAAATTATCAGAAAAGACTCAATTTATACAAGAAGAAACATCAGCAAAAATAGGACAGCAAAACCAGAAAAGTAAGTGTTTGTCTAAAGTGATAAAAGAAACAGAGCAGAACAAGTGTGACAATTCAGAAGAGTACCCAGTTATTCTGCTGTGCAATGAGAATATACATTCATCACCTTTTCCCACGGTGAACCATGATGTGCCCCTAGAGGAGCAGGTGGTGGAGTCTGTAAATGAAGAGCAAGAAGCACAACTGAAAAACCCATTGCTCATTAGTCAGCCAGTTAATCATTCCCAGTCTTTACAACCAGAGACAGCAAAACCCAAACGTACTCTGCAAGAGAAAGAACTGACCCACCATGTGGAAAAGCAGTCAAAAGAAAAATATATAAAGCGGTCCAAGAGAGGACACCTTGTTGTGAGGTTTGTGGCTCCAGAGAGAGGAAGAAAGTCAAAACCAAAGCCTCTGGAGTTGTCTAAAAGGCAACAAAAAGATGACAAAGAGGAGGTTGTGCCAGTGGCTGTTAAAAAAATTCAGCTTAAAGGAAAACGTGGCAAAGAAAAAATTATTAAAAAACGGGAAAGTAATAAAAAGCATTCTCAGCCTTTACTGCAGGAGATTGATCTGCAGGTGCAAAATGGAGTGGTAAAGACATCGGAGCAAGTGCGACAAGTGCAGTCAAGACGAGAACTCAGACAAAGTCAGAAAACTGTAGCTAAAAAAGAGCTCAGACAAATTCAGAAAGATGTGGGTGAAAAAGGGACAAAGCGAAAGAGAAGACAGGAACAGTTTGAAGAAACACATAAGAAAAGAAGGGAAGAAATTTCACACATGCAGCTAAAATACCAGGAACAAATGGGTGCTGGAAAAAAACTGAAGATACCACAGAAAAAGAAGGAACAGAAGGGGAAAAGTGGTAGTTCACAAAATCAAGAACAATTAAAGAAATCTCTTCTTCTCCTAAAAGGGCATAAGCAGCCCCAGCTAAAGGTTCACAAATTAGATCCCCAAAAGAGTCCGACAGGAGCACTGAAGCCACCATGTCAGTCTCAAACTACTAGCACCCGGCAGAATCATCTAAAAAGGAGCACGAAGACTGAGCCACAACAAAGAACAAAAAAGATAATGCCCCAAAGGAAGCAACAAAGGCAAACCACAAAGCCAAAACAGGACCAGCAAGAAGATATGCTGGTAACACCTCTTCCAGACCAATCGTTATCATCGTCCTCCTCGCTGAAAAAATCAAGGGCCCCTCGAAAGCGCAAGCCATCTGCATTGGGGATACCTCAAGGAGCATTTAGATCTCAACCTCAACTGGCCCTCAGGTGTGAGTATTGTGGGGAGACATTCTCTGAGGTGGTAGCTTTAGAGGAACACATGGCTGCTCTATGTTCTTCGGTGACTGGACCTTGTCAAGGTAATGCGACCATCAGCAGTCTTAGTGACATTCCACAGGCTGGAGAGGAAAGGTCAGTTACTTTGATTTCAAAGAAGATTAGTAGACGAACATCTGGTGCAGGACAGGATGTGACAGCCATGAATGGAAATGAAATGAGAATGAAAACTCTGTCTAATCACAGAGGGGATGGGGTGAAGCTGGTAGGTATAGCTCCTTCAGGTGCAGACCTTTGTCTTACCTTAGATCTAGTTGAGAATCTCAAGTCAGACAAAGAAGTGCTTGGAGTACACAGTAACAATTATGGAATCCAGACTTCAACAGATTGGGATATGGAGGTTGAAATGGGGGAAATTGGATTAGGAGAGAGAGTCTCTTTCCCAGCACTGAATCCATCTCCTTCTTTGCCTCATGCCCCAACTTGCCTTGAAGGTGAAGTTCAAAGAGGAGGAGAGGAAAATGGACAACTCAATGTAGACAGCAATATTGTTACTGAGGCAGAAGTTTCCTTAAGTTTAGGTGCAAGTGAGAATGGACATTCACATGAATTAATGCAGCAGGGAGAGGAGACTGTTAAAAACCAGAATGACTTTAAGGACTCTGTGGATCAGTCACGACAAGTAAGAGAACTAAACAGAATACAGCAAATGGAGCATCAACTGCAAACAGGTGATGTTCAGCTACCTATTCCTCATTCACATATTATTCCTCCACATCTCTCAAATGCAAGCCAAGTCAAAATTCAAGTAACACATGATCAACATACAGTAACTACTGACAAAGCACAAATGGAAGGTGAGGAACAGAAGCCTGAATTCCAGAAAAGCAACAAAGAGGCATCAGATTGCATCTACCTTGTAGACTCTGGTACAGTGTGCCAGAGGGTTGAGGAAATAAAAGAGGAATTGCTCCTGGAAGTGGATATGGTCACTGTTGGAGATGAAAGTATGGAAAATCACCTTGATACACAGGATGATAATAGTCTGGAGTTAGTGAGCAGTTCTCAAACCACCAAAGTTTCTACCAAATCAACGAGCCCACGTCAAGCAACTGATGACTCCAGACTTCCTGAACATGCCACAAACATCAACGCTGCAGCCATAACCTCAAATACAAGTACAGTTTCTTGTGCCCCAGACTGCTCAGAAGTCAAGCAAGAGGAGGAAGAAATAGAAGTGCAGAGGAAGGAGAATTGTGGAAAAAGAATTAATAGTGAAAGGCGAAAATTGACTGTTACCCAAAAATGTGGCCAACGGAGCAAGGTACAAGATGATAGCACAAAGGAAACTGAAACAGAGATGGGAAAGGATGGATGCCAGGTTATTCTTGAGGTGCACTCCATCACTGATGGTTGTCATATTAAGGAAGAAGATCAAGTGGAGTTTTTAAACCAGTCCCATAAATTATGTGCTGATCAGAAGCAAATGGGACCGATGTGTGACGGTGTGGGGCGTGCAAGTACATTGGAGTCTCATCTCCCAGCCTCTCTGGAAGAGTCTTCTGATGAACAGTTAGTTTTTGAGCTGGATTCTGTTACCACCAGTGTAGAAGTTTTGAAAGCAGAGCACAGTTTGGAAGAAGAACCGGAAAAGGGGCCTAGCAGTTGTCAGTCTCCATGTGTGTTGCTTGAGCGGATTTTCAGAGGAAGAGAGAGGGATGGGGAAGATTTGGAGCATTGCCAAGTTGAAATCAGAAACGGCAAAAGAATGGTAAGTCCTATTTTCTCCAAATTTTTTGGTACGAGTTTGAGAAATCAAGACGTTATTTTTACATTAGGTTTTACGTAGTTTAGTAAGTTTGTAACGTTAGCTTGTTTTTTGAGACTACAACAATGACACCTGTTTTTCAAACAGATGGATAGCACCATGGGATTTGAGGTGGAAGGCAATCAGGACATTGACACCAGTGGGATAATACTGATGGAGTCTCTGAGGGGTCAGGTTATTAAGGTAGAGGAGTACTCCACAGAGTCCTGCACAACTGCTTCTGTCAGGAGGAAAAAGCCAGTGGTTGATCAGCTGAATCCATGTGAGAAGCAAAGGGGGGTCCGTATGTTTTTAGTTAAAGAGGAAGACTCTCTTGTTGCGAATGAACATCAGGGTTTCCCTCAACATGGGCACACAGAGTTGATGATGGGGGATGTGCAGCATGCCAGCAGAGAATGTCTTGGTAGGTACATCGTTTTGGTATTGTCCCTCTGTTTGCACTGATGGTTAAATTATCTTTGTCAGATTGTCATAGTAGTTGTGCGACTGTGGCTTGGACTATGGGCCATTAACAACCAATTTGCATATAATTAAATGTTTTCTCACCAATTCAGGGACAGATACCATGCCACAGGGTATCAGAGACCAGACTGTGGATATAGAGCAGGAAGGAGTAAGCAGTGTATCCCCTTTGATCCTTAATGATGGAGATGGTGGTGAGCAATGCATATTCCTTCAAGTAAAAGAAGAGGAGAGAGAGGTGGAGTTGGCCCCCTCCCAGAGAGAACATGAAATATCAGTGTTGGTGGTGTCTGGGACAACAGCACTGGATGACCAGATGGAGACACGTGAGATTGAAGCGGAAGACCAGCTTGTGTCTGGTCTCCACTCAGGACCATTTTCAAGTAGTGGAGGTTTCTGTAAGTCAAGACTTTACCATACAATTATAAATAAATACAACTTACCCTACTTGTTCAAAACAGAGTACACACTGAGCATAGATTCTGTCCTAGCAAGTAAAAGGCACAAAAAATACACTGAAACAAACTGTGGGTAGTTCTGGAACATGAGTACACTTACATCACATGGCAAGCACAGAGAGAACTTGCAAATTGCACACAAACACAGATACAGGGATATAATAAATCCCACTGAGCTACTGTATACCCCAGCTCAACCAGAATTTTCTTTGAGAACATTTTCTTCTTACTTTTCTGTAGGGGTATCTGTGCCTCCAGCGTGTGTGACGGAACAAGGTTTAGCAGGAACGGAGAACTGTGAGGTGGACAGTCAACAAATAAAGCAGACCAAAACGCAACCAACTGTGTATGTCTCCAATGAACAAGGTGAATACTTAGTTGTATGCACCTGAACCTAATCTCACAGTAATGGTATTGATTTCTACAGAATAATAATTTCATGTACACGCAAAACTATGTCATGCTTGGTAATGTATGACACATTTGTAGTAACTACAGGATAATATTGTTTTTGTTTTTCAAAGTTAGGAATGTTAGTGCCATTGCAAGGAAAACTGACATTAACTGAAACTCTCTCTGATTGAAGAGCTGAAGAACGCTCAGGAAATTACCGATTTCCTGCTGCAGAACTCCGATGCAGAAGACTCTGATCCCAGTATTTCTGATTCTGAGCTAGAAGAGGAAGCCTTTGTGATGGCTTGTTACCATGAGAACCAAAAATGTGTACTCAACTCCGACAAAAGCCCAAGCAAATGGCATGACCACAAGACACACAGGTATGTCGGTCATAACTTCTCAATATTTTGTGTGTTGTTTTTCCTCTTTAAGGTCAATTCTATTATTATTACTATTATTATTATTATTATTATTTAACACAAGTATCATTCTATCCATGTATATTTTGCTTACATTTTTTCCCCTTTGAATTGAATGATAATTGTCTCCAGCTTACAAGAATTCCTTAGGAGCTGCTATATAATTCTATTCAGTAGTATCTATTTATAATGGAGGGCTCTCAAATTGTAATATATATTAAAAAATCTATACCTACCTGTCCACTTTTTTTTTTTCCCACAAAGTTTCTCAGCCCAAACAGAAGACACTGAAGAATCAGTGGGAAATGAACAAGAGAGAAGGGAACAGACCCCTATAGATTATTTCAGACAGTATTTGGACTGGGATACATGGGAAGAAATTGTCACTTGCAACACGGGTTGGCCAGATTTCCCAACCACAGTCACTGCCAAAGAGGTGGCTCAGTTTGTTGGCATTCACATTGCAATGGGAACTTTGAAGGTTAGTAATTTGCAGTACTGTTACATTATAAATTAATTTTTGAGTAAAAAAGATTTTTCTGTTAGCTCTAATTTTGCCAGTGCTCCTTATATGTAATATAATATGTGCTTCTGTGGCAAATAATCCATCTTGTCATCTCTCTCCAAACATCTCCCCACCCATGTTTCCCCCTTATTTACTGACAAGTTCCCCGACATGCGGCTGTACTGGCAGGACCTTACCCGAGTGCCCTTGGTTGCCGATTCCATGCCTGCGTCCCGATTCTTCCAGTTGGCTTGCAAGCTCAGGCTGGGACACCGAACTAGAGATTCTGATACCCCTACCGATGCAGACCTCGTGGGCACCCGTGGGAACAGAGCCCGATCTGATGAAAACAGGGACATTCATGTAGAAAGACTTGCGTGCACATCTGCGTTGGCTTTCCATGCAGGTGTACCAGAGATCGTTTGCAATCTTAGCAATTCCAACACACTTACTCATACACTTACATCCACAGGCAGACCTGACCACAGTGAAAACAGTGAGAAACCCAGGAGTGGGAAAGCTTTAGAATCTCCTTCATTGCATCATCCTGGCACAATGAAAATTCATATCCACGGAACACACGATTATGCACATAATATACCACGAGAAACAGGTCTCAGTGATATTGCTTTACAACACCAAAGCGAGACGGGCAGCTCAAGTTCGCATCACGGTACAACACATAAAACAAATACAACTGAAAACATCCCTGAAATCAAGAAATGTAATGGTAGCACTGACCCGTTGTGGAGGGTAAGAGTATTGCTTGAGAGAGTTCGAGCAGGTTGTCTGGCACTGAATCGGGAAGGAAACTATGGAATTGACGAATACCCTATTCATTTGGGTCGGTCAATAAGAAGGAAGTCCTTTAGCAACTGTCCTCCCACGTTAAACTGTGCTGTCCTTGTTGGGGCTGGTGGTTTCATTCTAGATTTTAATTTGAATGTGGATGACTCCAGAAAGGAGGATATGGTAGAGAAAATGGTCCCCAGGAATAAAGAGAATAGGGAGGGAGCAGTATTCCTCTGCAAAGAAGAACTTGCTACCCCTGTTGTGGTGGAGCACCTTCTTTCAGCTGGTGTCAGAAGTGCAGCCAGGGTAGGAGAAGTAAGTGGAGGGATGGGGAATGAATTTGTCAGTTCTGATGGAAAGCTGACATTATTCCGCTGTGCACAGGGTTTTGTTCTTTCTACTTTAAGGAAAAGGCCATCATCAAAGTTGTCAATTGTGGAGGAGTTTGAGAGAGCTCAGAAGGTTGTGCAACTGAACAGAGAACTCTTAGGTCTGTATCGTACCCCTCTGTCGGCTTCCTCCCCAACCTGCTGGCCGCAGTCTGTGCTCTGGCACCTCACTGACATGGCTCTAGTGAACTCATGGCTACAGTACAGAGTAGATCACCAACAGCTAAAGGAGCCAATGAAGCTTATGACATTTCGCTTAGAGGTGGCCAAAGCGTTAATTCTGTCAAATGCTTCCGACAGCCCCAGTTCAACACCACCTCCCCCACCTGCTCCACTCCCCAATCAAGACTCTATCCTGTCTCCTTCACCTACCCCATATCCAACAGCCCACACTCCAGATGACATTTTCCGGTATGATGGTCTTGGACACTGGCCAGAGCAGGTGTCCCAGGGTGAGGGGGGTAAGTGCAGGTTTGGAGGGTGCGACCGAACATCCCAGGTCCGCTGCCTCAAATGCTGTGTATTCCTCTGCATCTCGCAGAATAACAACTGCTTCCTTAAATTCCACAGCAAGGAGAAAGAATGAAGTTTAACCATGTAAGTGTCATGTGCAATTAGGCCTGTTTTAAAATTAGGTGCCCAAATGTTATGTGTAGCTCTTTATATGTCATGCTGTTAAAACCCATATTATTGATGTACCTGCTGCAACATAAGTGAATGGTCAATTACATTGTATGTATTCATCAATTAATGTGATGTTCTGATGGGTATAATGTATTTTCCTTTTTATAATAAAATGTTTAATTTTAAAAAGTTTCTGTTAGATATTAAGACCATAAACCTGTTGAACCACACATGCCTAGTATTGTACTGTTACATTATTGGATTTGGATTTTCCTTCAGTCAAAAAAGACGCTCCTCAACTTACAAACGAGTTACGTCCCGAACGGCTGTTCGGAACTTGAAATGTTTGTGAGTTGTTATTCAACATCATTTTAAGGGTATGTGCAAGTTCAAAGAACTAGGATGCTGGGAGTATGCACACTACACTGCTGCGAAGCGGGAGTAGCGGCTAGAAGTCGTACTTGGCGGGATTGGCGTGCGAAAAAAAAAAACGAAGTTGCGGACAGGAAACGGGAGCCCAATGAACACAATTTGGACTTGTAGTCCTCTTTGTTCGTATGTCTGAAAGTTCGCAAGTAGAGGAGCGTCTGTAGTTTTATTTGAAATGGAAAAAGAAGGCAGAAGTTTAACATTTCAGGTTCAGCTCCCCAGTGTGTGGCCAGATAATATCTGGTCTACCCATGGATGATTTTCACAGTCTCCACAGTCAGACATTCAGGTCATCTAGTGACTCTGATTTACACCCATCTACTCTGCCTTTTGCTTTGACCCCTGTTGGGCTTCTGGTGATGATTTTTTTAATCCATTACACATGTTGCTGTTCATTCCACAGTATTACTTGCATGGAAAAACTTGCAATTTTACTGGTTTATTGATATATATTCCAGTTAAGCTATTTTAAACAGGGCCCTGATGACAAGTACAATTCCATAAACTTTAACACCATCACTGCAGATTACTAGTGTACAATACTGCAGCATTCTACATTGATTTAGACCAGGGGTGGCCAATCTTATCCGCAAAGGGCCGGTGTGTATGCAGGTTTTTGGGATAGCCTGTAGGTCAGCTCTTCAAACTCAGGTGTGAGGACTCTTCAGCTTATCAGTCCTCTAATTAGGGAGTTGCAGCAAAAACCCACTGACCCTTTGCGGATAAGATTGGCCACCCCTGATTTAGACTTTTGGTTTACAGGCAATCAGCTGGTTGATATGCTGACGGCCTGGTCATGTGACTGGGGTCATATCACTAAGTTAGCGGTGTTACTCATCGGCACTTGCTTTTTGTGGTTTTAAAAAAAGTGTACTGGCTGGTTTGTGCTCACTCTGTCGCCTAGGAATTATCTCTGGTCATATGACAGATTAAATCATTAGGGTTAGTAATGTTATTCATTGGTATAGGCTTTCGGTTTACAAACGATGCAGCTCGGGTTGATGCTCGCGCTGCCGCGCAAGAATTTACCCTGGTCATGTGACGGGGTTCGGGGGCCAGATTAGCAGGTTGACTTCAGCGCGCCGTGTTTTCTGTGTAAGGTAAGTGGCGCCCGTGAGCCTAGTTTTGCCCTATCTTTGTTAAGTTTTTAAGAAATAATTAGGCGTGAAACTCATGGTATGGGCTATGATATTCATCAGTGTGTGTGTATGATTTAAAAAGCAGTAGGCGGCTGTTCCCAACAAACCCTAGCCGACTTCCCGTTTTCTGAATCACCCTGCCTTGAAGTTTCACTTGGAACTTGACAAGGAGCTAGTTGGTTGACATTAGCTAGCTAAGCGTAACCGTCGGCGCGCGGTTTAAAGGACTAACAGCCGTGCACGGAATACGCACGGGCAATGCCAGCGAAGACGCGACATTGCGGGCGAAGTGTATGTGTATAGGAGCTGAACCGTCTCGCGTCTCCGCTGGAAGAGGCCTAGCCGCAGTCGGGGCCTGCGGAAACATCGAGCCGTCCTGGTGTGCGGGCGTTGTGGGTCTTTCTTGCTGTTAGCTAGCTAGTGCTAACTAAAACCACACTCCCACCCAGTGCGATTCACCGACGCGTCCTCTGCCAAACGAGTCTTTTTGGCAATAATATCTACCGTATGATTACAGGAACTACTGGTAAATAGTGGATTTGATCGGAAAAATAACTTTATATATTAGGTGGGTTTTTGAGTAGGCTTAGCACCCAGACACAAGGACTCCTTTCCAGAATAATTTATTTCTCATGTATGCTAGTAAAATGCAGAATGGCGAGATCATTTTGGGTGGGTTAAGTTATTTGTCTCCTCGCCGAATAGCAGAAACGTCATATGACAGTAAAAACGTTTCGGAGAAAACGCCGTTTGTAGGGTGAAAACACAGCAACTCATTGGTAGCACTATTTAATACATTTACGGCAAGTGCAAGAAAGTTATAGATGGCTGGTAGGGTCGTAGTCAGTACCTTTTATTGTTAAAAGTGGAAAGTTTGGTTTTGATGTTGATGTTTACATAAAGCTTTTGTTTACCTTTCACCCCATTAGAAGTTGTCTCTGAATTTAATTCATCCTTTGCTGAAGATGGACCCAGATGTGATTAAAATAGAGGAGGTTGTGGTTGGTGAAGCGACCGCTGAGAAACCTGGGGAGATGGCATCAAATGAACAGGCACAGCCCTATACAACCACGCTTATCCTCCAGGAACCTGCTGCCACCCCAGTCGCCCAGCCATGTGAGTGAACGTGCATGCCTTTGGTACATTCTGGTGAGAGTGGATAAGTTCTGCAGCCAAGTAGTTTTGTTAATGTCTATGAAAGTAAACCCTGTTTTCTGCTTCTCGTCATTCAGGCAGTTAGAAACTCAGGTTAGTTTCTTCTGTAAGAAAACCATTGTCTTGGAGCATCTGGTGTGTTTTTTTTTTTTTTTTTTTTTTACACATTTTGTTTTGACGCATGAATGATTTTTTCCCCCATACTTGCCTCTGCTCCAAAAGCTATGTTGATTTTAGTTAGTGGTCATTTTATTGCAAGAGGGCTATTGCATGACATATACTTATGTGACATTTTCAGCTCAGTACTCAATAAATTTTAATTCTTGATATAAAATATGCTTTATTGATCCATGTGGGAAATACGTTTACATACACCAGTGAGGTTACATAACGTGCATAGATACCAGCTTATAGTACTGGCAAGTGAACAGTGCAGTCAATGCACAGTAGGTAACCAGAACATTGTGCAGGAAATAAACAGGTGGCGTATGTCCATTTTAATGTAGTAAAACTTAGGTTCTCTCTGCTTTAAAGATGACAAGCTGTCCTGCTGTGTTCTGGCTGTGGCTCAGGGACTGCACATTGAGACGATGCTCCTTAGTGCCCTTATGCATACATAGTTTGATCTTTGAGTACCTAGAAGTTCTTTTCCCTTGTCTAATTTCATGTTATTAGTCATTTGAATTGTATAAATGAATAACATTTTATTATACCCATCTGTGCATTAAATGATGGGAAATTATGGATTTTATGATTTTATATGGGTTTTACTTTCAGTGCATATTGCTCAGAATAATTTGAGTCACGTGGCAAAATTTCAAAATTTTCACTATACTTTGCATTGTGATATTTTTAGTTTATAATTTAGAGTTCCTCCTATGTATTTTATGAGAGCAATCACCTCCTGTCATTGTGGCAAAAATGCTAAAGAAATCTCAATGTCCCTAAAAACCGTGATCCAAGGGGCAAAAATATGCACACAATTTCAAGGGAGGAAGCAAATGTACAGTTACATTAAGCCATTTTACTTTTATTCATTTAATTTCCATTTCCATCTCCAACATATATTCATACAAACAGTGCTGTTCATACTATTTACATTCATAACTTTATGTAACATGTGCCTGTAACTACATACTACTATGTAACACTGTTACGATACCTAGCAGTTCATTTGAACGATCGTAATGAACTTTTCAATTTATCCATAAACTAATGCCGGATACATATACAAAGGCTATTAAAACCTAAATAAAAGCCTCAATAGTTAGAACTGTCTTCTGATTTCTCTCACATACATATAGTATTCTATACACATAAATCTCTTTGGGACAGCAGTAGTATCCTTTTTATTTACTCAGGTTGACACAAGGTGGTGATTGCCATTTGCATTTCAATCTGGAGGCAGTTTACATTAAAAACAAAAACTTATGGATTAGTTATTGTCTTTAAAAAGTGCTCCCATTTTTTTGTTGAGGGCAAAAGGAGATCAGGAGGGTTGCGTACGCACTATGCGCGCTGATGACAGGTGTTGGTATTTTTGATAAACCTCTCGGTATTGGTCATTGTCCTTTTAGCCAAACATCGGTATGGATTAATGACCCCATGCAGTGGCCGGAGATGTCGTATCCTACATCATTGAGTCTCTGGGTAATATTGAGTTGTCGTCTGACTTTTTTTTTTTCAGTCTAGAGAGTTAAATGTAGCTGCCTTTGTAGTCTGTCCACACTGTTTACTTGCACAGCTGTTACTGTGCAGATCCAGTTCAGGATTTTCTTTACTGTATAGCCTATTGTGTGCAATAATTTGCAATTAAAAATTGTAAGTTATTTAATGTAGGTTAGACATATTGCTTACCAATGAGGAAGTGTTGCTGCAGACACATTTGCTATTGGGGTCCCATAGTTTTCCCTCAGGGTCTTCAATCCGAGTAGCCTGAATCCCTAATTTTTTTTGCCCTCCCCTATCCTATTAAGTAGCTAGGAGAACCGAATGTCAGGGTGCATTTTTACTATTGACAGTGCAGTACACAACACAGCAACTTGTAGGCATGGTCAAAACCTCTATCTCTTATTTGCCTACAGTCGATTTTACCATTTGGTTTTCCCCCAGAAAGGGGTTTGTCCAGTAAAACTACTGATGTCACGTTACTCTGGTCTGAAACAGTTGGAGCATGCGCGGTATACTTGAAACCTAGTGCACATGCGGCCACAGATCGAGCAGTGATGTTGGTGTCAGCAAATGAAGGGTGGTTTTTTTCACTCTAACAAAGATTTGTCTCCTCGTTTCCCTAGCATTCGACTTCCACACTGATGAGCCCTTTTAAGCTCTCTAGGCGTTTTTCCACCGCACCAGGTACCGTACTTTCGGTACTTTCGGTACTTCCATAAAGTGCCGAAAGTTTGGTACTTCTTTCATGTCGGTTTTCCACTGGCATAAAAAATGGTACCAGCTCCAAATGACATCATCAGTGACCGCTCCTGACTGACAGCCCAAAATGAAAACTAATAGTTGAGGCTGGAAAATGCGGTTCTATCACAGTATTAAGATTCAGTAAAATCCAAATCATGCTGCCATCAATTACGTTTACGTAGGTACACTTACTTTGGCTAAGCCGATCAAAGCAGTAAGAATTAGCTTACTGCTAATTCAGTCTTTTGAAAGCAAACATATTATTTAATTATGTTTTTTGATTTTCAAGTGGCATTGTTCGGTGTTTCGCGTGTGCCCCATTTCTTCCAAGCGGCTTGGTATTAGTGTTCCGGGCAATTAAGTTTCCCTATATTTCTCCTGTCTATCAGGAAATAATGTTTCCCCTAATATTAAAGCAAAGAGGTATGTGAAATGTCTGAAAATCACTCAGGTACATTATTACATGTGAATACAGTAGATCGTCACGCATAATATAGTCTTATAAGCAATACTATACTGTTCATCAAGAAATACCTCTATCCAGCAAATTAAGTAATTTCATTTATCTGTAAAAACAAAAAACATACAAAAGGAATGTGATGTTTTAAAATTAATATATGGCTTGTTTACCTCGTAAAAAGACATGAAAACAACAGCGAAACCGTGTACAAATCAGCACGCGACAAGGGAAACACAGGGAAACTTAACTGCTTGGAACGGCAAAAACTTTATTTCACGTAGTGCCATCCAAATCCCACTGGATCTGTTCATCCGACCATATGGCAATTAAAGCCTGTGTTTCCTCGTTTGTCCATCCTTCCATTTTACTTTTTTATATTTTTGTTTCTACTGCTTTTTGTTTCGTTTCTCGCTGTGTATTTCAAAAGATGGCGGTTGAATTTTGTGTTTCAGCGGCAGGCTATTTGCATAACCAATCGACAGCAAATACGTTTGCAAGTCCCACCCCAAAGTACCGAAGTACCAAAGAAGTACCCCAACTGGTTTGGCACTTTCGGTACTCGAGATTTCGGTACTGGTACTCGACCGGAAGTCAATGGAAAAGTGAAAGTACCGTACCGTACCGAAAGTACCGTACTTTGTGCGGTGGAAAAGCGCCCTCTGTCTCGAGACTTTACAATACCCTATGTCAGTAGTTCTCGAATCTTTTTTGCACCCCAAACCAATTTTTACCATGCCAACTTGGTTGTGACCCTATATCAAGTATGGGTTTAAATTGATCAAGCATGCAGTGCATTAATGCCAATCAATGTTTATCGCACAAATCTGACTGGATGTCCCACTGAATTTTAAATGAAACATCTGTGTTTTGGCTTCTTGGTTGAGTGTTCATTGGTTTTGAGCTAAGCATTTGCAGACTCAAGACACACTTATATAGGTTAATTTATGGATTGGGGCTGGGAAATCTGATTGTGGATCAGCATAGGACCATGCCGGTTTAAAAATGTTTACGTTTCCAACTATACCCAAATTTGGGTTGTGACCCATGTGTTGCTGACCTACGTGGTTTTTTTTTTTTAATACTGTCATACTGATGTGAAATGTCTAGAAGGTATGATGGTATGAAAAAATAGATACTGCCCAGGCCTAACCATATGGTGATTTGATTACTTCAGTGCATCAGAAATTTGTAATTTCTACCATGATTTGATTCTGTTAACTGATTATTCTATTAACTGATAATTTTGATAACCTAAATTCATCTTTAACTTCTCTGGGGGGAAAAAAATATGAACATGACCATGGGACCTTAATTACACACTTAATGGAATGTTCAGAGAACATACATTTTTGTTATTTAACAGGGAGAAAATGCCAGTGTCAATTGTCAAAAAGGCCAACTGCTGAATTATACAGGGGGAAAAAAAAACATGATGGAAGCACTGCCTGATTGGCTGCTTTCATCTAGGCTAACTAGTGGTGTAGTAATGTGGAAATTTAACCAAATATATTTTGGTTTATTGTTGCTGATACCGATAAATGGCTAACCTCTGAGTCACTTGCCAAGCGGGGAGGGAGGGCTTCCGGTGCAGTTTAATGGAATGATGTAACATTGTGTTGTATTCTATGAAAAACGAATGATCGTCGAAACGCCTGATTTAATGGTGAATTATAAACGTCATGGGCCGGTACTTTGAGGCCTCTTAAGTGTGAATGAGCTGACGAAATCCCTCTACTATTGCAATGCAGTCATTTCCATTATTTTAGTACTTGTCTTTAGCTCTAGTGCTATTTACTTTAAATTAGGGTTGCAGCTATCGATTATTTTTGTAATCGAGTATTCTATCGATTATTCCGTTGATTAATTGAGTAATCAGATAAATACTTTTGTCTTATTAAAGAGCAATAGTAACTATTCAAAAAAGAAAAAAATAGGCAAATTAACAACTCATGGGTTTTCTTTCTAGGAACATTTTTAATGATTGAACTCCATACAACTACTGACAAAAGAGCTAAACCCTTATAGTGCATTTATGTACTATAAGTGTGTGTTTTTTTTTTTTTTTTTTTTTTAAAGAAAACACTTTCTTAAATGCAAAAATAAATAATGTGAAATAAAATTACTGAAAAAAGGTATACATATATCTTAAACTAAGGCATAAATTACTGTAAAATGGCCTTTACTCTCTGTATTCTTGTACATTTATGACAGGATTATATCTCCTGGATGAGGTAGGAATAGTGTGTGTGTGTGTGTGTGTGTGTGTGTGTGTGTGTGTGTGTGTGTGTGTGTGTGTGTGTAAGTAAATGTGAGTGAGAGTTTACTCAGTGCTGTTGGTCAACTCGGCAGCTTACTGAACTGAACATGGTGCAGCTGCCCGAACAAAACTGTCCATAAGACACTGATTTACTGAAAAATAGAGGAAATAATAATAATTCAGTGTCTGAGTTTTACAGGCCCAAGGCTGTTGGGGCGGGGGGGGTTGGGTAACTTTTATATTATATTTATATTATGTAATATTATTCATATTAATCTAAATCTGCTAAATAATATTACTAAAGCCTTGAAATAGATCTAGTTGAGTACACCCCATGCTCCCCTTTAGACTTACCCCCGCTCACTGTGACAAACAGCGGTGGATGGGAGCAGCTGAAAACATCGCTTTTCTTCACCTTTCAGTTTGTTGAACAGCTGGTTTGATTAAGGACTCTCGCCAGCTCTTTACCAGTAAAGGTTTAGTAGTGATTACAAGCACTGCTGTTTTCCTTCATTCCACCTGAGTTCATCTCTGTAACGGAACCGTCTCTCTGCTCTTTGCTGTTAGTGTATAGACAGACTCCAGCTCCATGTTAAACTATGACAGCATCATTTTCACTGCTGCTGTGTTATCAGTGTTTTTGTTGAAGAAAAATAGGCACTGCTTGGGCTGAATCTTGCTATACTTTTTTTATTCATACATATGCCCATAAAAACGTTTCTATCGCAAAAAAACGTTTCTATTTTTAGCCACAAATGTGAGTGAAACACTTGCGCTTACTTTGTATTGGTTCCGCTCTATGGACTGGATGCATAGACTGGGTGCTTTCTGTTGAGATGTTGAATCATTCACGTTGTGCTATTGTGGTAAGCTAATTCGGTTTTACAATAGACATACTGTACAGTATTTTCGCTTTTTTGTTTGAAATGGTCCCAAACTTAACATTTTTCATCTTTTTCTCTGACTTTCCTCACTATTTTCCCTGTCTTCCTCCATTGCACCATCAAATCTAACCTGCTGCATGTAATGCAGCGTGTACACTGTGCGACAATTAGGGCTGCACGATATATCGTTTCAGCATCGTCATTGCGATGTACGCACGTGCAATAGTCACATCGCAGGATGTGTGATGTTAAGTAACGCAAATTAAATTAACGCTTTTGGTGTTTTTGCTGAACTAACAAATGTCACACTGTTCTTATTCTTAAACAATCCACAAAAGTCTGTCTAATATAATTTAGATCAATTTAAAGGTTTTTGGATACGGAGCCAACACGCAGCTTTGCACGGGCAGCTAACAAACATGTCGATCACAGAACGAACCACCAAGCACAAACATTCTAACCATTTAACCCAGCATTATTTTGTCACTCATGTTAACTCTCATATGCGATAAGCTTCCATAGTTTAATGCTCATGCTCTGTTTAGTACTGATTTAAGTTATCATCATTATATTTGGTCAATTATAATCAGGTCATATTTTATATTTTATCATATATTATAATCAGGTCAATCTTTCTAGAATGATTAATTATACCAATACAGCAGCGGTCACTAACAGGTGGACTGCGCCGGACCCAGAAGCTGTCCCATACGGACCTGGACCGATAGCCCTTTGTCTGCGCTAATGTGCCATTAGTGTTAATAACAGCAGCAAAGCGACCAAAAAGCCGTAATGTTCCTAACAGTGACTGCTTAATAACAGCAGTGAAGCGAACACACGCAACCAAAAATCCGTAATGTTTCTAAGAGAGTGGCTGGTCTGTCCTGAAATCATATAGCTGAAAAGTTTTCAAATACAGTATGTATTATAGTTTACTGGTGATTTCATGTTCATGGAAGTTTCCGCTTTTTAACATATGTATAAAGTAATATTATCTGTTATTGATCAACTCAGGTGAAATAAAAATTGTACGTTTTCAGCATCTGGCACGCCACTCATGATTTCAGACTTGCGCAGGAAATCTTACGGCAAATCTATATTATTCCATTATAAACCTAAAATGAGCTACGTCAAAAGTGTGTTTACATAGTTAAATACAAAAGCATACTATTTACAAGGTAAGAACTGTTACATGTGTGTGCAGACATCTCAAATTGAATTGCACTGAATTAATTTGATTTGACAGTCAGGTACTGATTACATGCAATGTTGATACAACTGATATGCTACTTAAATATACATCACACTAAATAGTTAGACATTATGATCTTCCGGACCTTTGCTTCAAGAAATTTTCTCTAACTGGACCTCTTTAAATTTTAGTTGAATACCCCGGCAATAGAGCTATTGAACTAATTAGAATTTTTAAAATCCCAGTATCGCAATATATATCGCAGAAAGAATAAATATTGCAATGTGATTTATTCCCAATATCGTGCAGCCCTAGCGACAATAATAATCCTCAAAGTGAAACAGTGATCACTAAGCAGTACATAGTCATGCGGATTACACGAAGCATCGAAGCAAAGAATTTGCATGGAGAATTTTTTGTAATTGAGTTATTAAAGTTACTCGATGAATCGTTGCAGCCCTACTTTGAATATTGATATTGTTTAAATATTGGCTGGCAATACTGACCAAGATTGATACATCAGACCGATATGGATATCTTGATTTTTATTGGGTTAGCCAATACTGATATGTTAACTAGTTAGCTAGCTTCAGTCTTGCTTGAGTAGCTAGCAAAAAGACTGATTTTATTTTTTTTCCTCTACAAAATGGGCAAGTTTCCCATAAGTGTCATAGCATAAAGAAAATCAAGTGCTACTTCTATGCATATTAATGAGCCTCCCCCTGCCATCCTACATTTTAAAAAATTGCGTTCCAGAACTGCTACATTGCACATCTTCCGAGAACGAGTTACCTAGCATAAGTGTGTTATTAGAATAAGATTTTGCTAAAAATCGATGAGAATCTAATGTTGCAGATTGATGCATTTAACTAAACATCTTAATATATTCATCACGATGCATCTTTACACCCCTACTGAAGAGTGACATTTTAAACCAAAAATAGCAATTACTGGTAGATAAATATGTGGATAACCTGCAGACACTTTGGCCTTTTCTTGACTGGCTGCTTGTGTGACCCAGTGTCTCCCTGCCTTGTCTGTTGCAGACCAGCATGAGAACCTGCAGTGTTTCCAGTGTTTTATTACCTTCTGCAACTCTAAAGCCAAGGAAAGGCACATGAAGAAGAGCCACCGTGAGGAATACAAGCAACAGCTTCAGCAGGTACAGGTCATTGGGTCAAGGGTGAGGCGGACTGGTCTTTTAATGATAAAAAGTTACCATAGGTCAGGGGCTGATCGCCCAAATTACGCGTGGAGTGGTACGAGTCAGGTCACTTGGGTTGGCAGCTGGGCGACGCTGGTTGCACGGATTAGGGGAGTGGTCAGATTAGGGGCGGGGCTGATCAGCCAGCCTGGTCACCTGCTTTAGGTGGTGGGAGGGATGGGACTGGTTGTCAGGGGGTGGGCAGCTGTCACCTGGGTCAGAGCTGCAGGTACTGGATCGCTTTCATCTGAGTCTTCCGTCTTTGAAGTGTGTACATTTCGCTTTTTTGCTTTATGGGTCTCATAAGGTTAGTTATCAATATGGTTATAAAAACTTATTTCCTCTGCCGTATTGAAATATTATGTATTTCAGTTAGTTATTTGTAAGGATACACTGATTTTATACGAATTACTAACTTAGGGATCTCACAATGCACATCGCACTAGTATTTTAGGAGCACTACTAATCTGTTTACCAAATTGTTGGTTTAAGTAAATGTTCATGTAGTACCAAAAAAGCCGGCGTCCGGATAAATGTTTTATCTAAAGTCCTGGTGTTTATTGCATATGCGGCATATAATTGTGAGGAAATCACCATTTGATATTGTGCAGCCATAGTTAATGTCCTTATTTTGTAATGTCGTTTTGGGCACGAAGATACACACAGATTTAATTATGCAACACCGCAATTTTTATTTATTTGTGCCTCACCGTTAAGTTTTTGTGTGTTGCATACAGTTGTTCCTCGATACTCTCATCAGCCTCCATTTCCAGCAAACACTGCACCTCTGCCCTAGACCAAAGTTTCCCCTTTGCCACCATGTTTGTCAATTGGCCACATAACTGATGTAAAACTAATCCGTTGGTTGTGTTTTCTTGTCTGCACCGGTGTCTGCGTGGTAATAAACAGTTTGAGAACGGTCTGGCTGCAGAACGTGCACTTTCAGCCACTGACGTCAGGTGCACGCTCAGCCACAACAGGAAGTGCAGGGGAATCAAGCACTAACTTAGTTCTTGAGGCCAATGTGAACAGTATGTTGTTATTTGTATTACTGAATGACATAGTTACAAGTTTATTTCATGCCATACATTTTTGCAATGTAAATGGTTTGTTGTAGTGCGTTAGTAACTTTTTTTCTCTGACTGGAGTGAATTTTTTCGGTTAAAAGGCAACTACTAGCCAGTTGGCTCACGTTATCTTATCATAAAATAAGCACATTTCTACTTTTACAGAGCTTTTCATGGAGTTACCTTGTGAATGTCTTAGTTTCCAGCATATAGTTTTTTGGTTGTATGTGTGGTCTTGAGGAGAACGTTTCTCGGTCTCCTTATGGCAGGGGTACCCAATCTTATTCGCAAAGGGAGCGGTGTGTATGCAGGTTTTTGGGATAACCTGTAGGTCAGCTGTTCAAACCCAGGTGTGAGGACTCTTTCAGCCAATCAGTCCTCTAATTAGTAATCTAATCAGGGAGTTGCAGCGAAAACCCGCATAGACACCGGCCCTTTGCGGATAAGATTGGGTACCCCTGCCTTAAGGCAAGGCAAGTTTTTATTATCATACACAGGGGTTATTTAATGTGCTTTATAAAAACCAAGATTTTAAAAAGTTAAACCAAGACAAAAAAAAGCAAAACAGATGAAAAAACTTATTTGAATAACAATTGCTTGGGAAAATCTAAGTGCAGTATGTCCTGCCCCGCTCGTCCTCTCCTCCCGTGTGCCACGCCCCCTCGTTAACCCCGTGTGGATTCCCTGTGTGATCAGCTGTTTCCAGTTTTCATTATCGCTGATGGGACTGGAGCGTAACTTCTGCGATAGGCGGGGGATCACTATATATTTTAAGGCTTAAACTATAAAAAAGTTTGTGTATGGTCTTTCTATATCATGGATTTTCAACTATCGCTGATGGGTCTGGATCCCCCCCCTATCGCGGAAGTTACGTTCCAGAACCATCAGCGATAGGTGAAAATCCACGATATAGAAAGACCATATACATAATTTTTTTTTATTATAGTTTAAGCCTTAAAATACCACTCCCCTATGTGAACTTCTTAAAACGCACTTTGTAAACACATATGATATGTGGATGTTAGGCTAAGGATATGATCGAGTGACACAAAATATGAGAATTTCTGGTATCATTCGAATGTTTCTAGTAATGCATCGTGTTGCTCTTAAATTTTACTCATAATGGTCTTAAAAGTCTTAAAAAGGTCTTAAATTTAACTTACTGAAACCTGCCAGAACCCTGGTTACAGAGTGATCACATTAGTCAAACAGACTAGACTTTGGGGGTCAAATATGCATTAGGCAATCTGGACCGTGCCCAAGCAAGTACATCTTAAGTCGCAGCAAGGAAATGCGCTTTGATAAATGAAAATGCATGGGCTTTCTGGTGGTGATTTTCTTTTTCCTTTGATTTACTGTTGAATGTGGTCTTTCAGTGAATGATTCTGTCTGCTCACTCTGTTTCCCACCAGTGTGACACACTTTTCACCTGCTATGTGTGTGACCGCACCTTCCCATCCTCTGAGGAGCTCACACAGCACCAGGGGACCCACAACAAGGAGGACAAACCTTTTAAGTGCCCCCACTGTCCAGAGAGTTTCCGTACCTTCTCTGAGGTGAGTATTGCTTTGTGCTTGACTGGAGGGGGGCTTTATATTAGGACTTTATTTTCTTATAACAAGACAATGTGCAGGGTATGGCTCTCAAACAAGTGAAATTAGTCTGTGAAGTTTATCCAAATCAGTCTCCTCTTGTATTTAATGTCTGTTTTGTGGAATCCCCTAGCTGACATCACATCGAAGGCAAGTTTGTCCAGAAAGGCAGTTTTCATGCCGGGACTGTGGGGAGTCTTTCCGGGGTCCTGCCCTGCTGCGGAGTCACCGCCTAGCCCAACACCCGCCCCGCTCCGAGGCTGACCAGGACGGCGACGACACTACCAAGACCCACCGGTGTGGGAAGTGTGGCCGAGGGTTTGAGACAGAGGCTGAGCTGCTGCAGCACCAGGAAAACCATGCCGGGGACCAGCACTGCAATGGCAGAGCCCCCGCCAAGAGGAAGGGGCGTCCCCCTAAGACCGAGGAAGCAGCCAATGGAGAGAAGAAAGGGAAACGGAGAAAGAAGGCAGGGGAGGGTGAGGAAGGAGATGAGTCTGGTGTGAGCAACCATGCAGAAGCAGAGCCGGCCGTGCCGGTGGCAGCCGCACTAGCGGCCGAGGTGAAGGGGAAGACAGGCGCCCGACGCGGGAGGCCTCCCAAGGTCATCCAGGGGGCTGAGGCCAAAGTGGGCCAAGCCCAGGCCGACAACAAGAAAGCGGCCCGTCAGCACCCCTGCCCCGACTGCAAGCTTTCTTTTCCAGGCCTGGCCCAGCTGCGGCTTCACAAGAAGGAGAAGCACAGCCGGCCGCCGCCTCCACGCAAGGCCCACCCATGCGGGGAGTGTGAGGAGAGTTTCGCGCGGCCAGAGCAGCTGAAGGCACACATGGCACGGGCCCACTGCGCTGGCCGTCACGCCTGCCCCACCTGCGGCAAGAGCTTTGGCAGGGAGAGCAACCTGAAGGCACATCGGCAAGCACACACCGAGGAGGATGTGGCTGCCGAAGGAGGGAAGAGATAATTCTGGAAGAGTCGCTATTTCTGTAAGGGGGGGGGGGTGGCTGATTTAGAAGTGGACGGGGTTTGTAAAATGTACCACAGGAAATGGGATTTTAATAAATTTGTGTGAGGGTGGGACTCGTTGGGTTTTGGAAGACAATTCAGTAAGTGGAAAGCTTTCATAGGTTTTTATTATTTGTAATCGTCCTACTCCAAAAGGAGTTGTTTGGTTAGCGTACCCTAATGTAGTTATTTTTAAGAGTGTCTGTCGGGGGCGGTTTGCTTTTTTATAGAGAAGGCGAAGTTTGAGGATAACCTTTTGAAGGAATGACTATGTAGTTGGAACTGTAAATAAACTCAATTATGTACCTATGTTTAGCTGCATTAAAAGTGGGCAGGCCCCTACATCAGAGCCTGTGGGGGGGAGTTTAATGGTGTTTCATATTTTAAGTGATTTTTATTTTTTATCATTGTGTGTTTTTTGTATTCTTTTTAGAAATGTGTGTGAGTAAATAGCTTCCAGGTTGTCTGATTAATGGAGCATTTAATTTCTGGATTTAACTTAAAGTGTTAAAGTAGCACTTGTAGGCATCTGTTTATTTTGAATATGTTGACTTAAATTGAGGTTTAAATTTCTTGCAGGGAGGCTACATAAAACAGGATTGTATTGGTTTTAAGCTTTTATGTAATGTATAATGAATGCAGATCTATTTTGGTGTTTGGTTTATTACATGTGGGTATTGGGTAAATTTAGTTCATTTATCAAGCATATTGCAAGTCAGATTAAAGGCTGCAAAATGTTTTATATTCATCAAGGGAAATTTTACCTCCTGCATGTTTAGCCTGAATTTCCATAATACCCCTGAAAGTGAGTTTTATTTGAGAACTATATTGTTTATTTCAGACACGTTTTCTCCACTCTTACTTGAGGCCCCCGTCTGTGCAGCGCCTCCTGCATAGTTCTCCTCAGTACAATTCTCATCCCTGCACTTGAAGCCTTCATTTTAACCACATCAGTAATTTAATATTTTAATATCCCTGTGAAATGATGAGAAAAAAGGCCTGAGCAGAAACCTGCGAGGAACTGTAATATCTGTAATGTTTTCTTTGTAACAGCTGACTGTATGCAGATGTGGTCCTTAACCACTATGCTGACAAGTTGTAATTAAACTGACCCAAGGGTCTGATATGAAAGTTGTCATTCTTCTGTTTTCATTTGTTCTGTCAAGGAATAATGGTTGGCATGTAAGAACGGCTTTCTGAAACAGATTGTGGGTGTGTTGAACATATTTGTACACGTGTATATAATAATATTCAGCTGTATGATTTTGGCAGAGCTCATGAATAGCTTCACCAGAGTAAATGTCTGGATTCTACCTTACCAGCAGGCACAGCTGATTAACGGGTAGCGCACTTGCCTCAATTCCAAGGATGTGGCATGAAATCCTACAATTGCTGGATGCGTGTTCCCAAAGTTTCCTCTATGTATTCCAGCTTCCTGTTTTGATGTAAAAACTGTATACTTAGCTTAACTGGTATGCTGAAATTGCCCAAAGTGTGTGTGTGCCCTGTGATGACTGGCATCCCTACTGGGGCATCCGATGCTTTGCACAAGGTGCTCCCTTTTAGATGCTCCAAGCTGGCTATGACATTGCAGTGGATGAGCAGTTGGATGAAAGCAGGAAGGATGAATGGGCACTTTAAGGGTACTTCCTTGAAATGGTTCTTCAGTGACCCTAGACATCAAACCCCAGCTGTCTCCGCTGTCTTGTTAAAGGACATCGTGCCTATCACTGTTTGTACGCAATGTCTTCCTTTTATGGATTGTGGAACCCTGATATATATTTTAAGGGTTTAAAAAGTACTGTGAATTATTTCCTTTTCAAAATTGCATTAAAAGCAAGTTTCTTATTAGACATAAATTATAAGTATACTGTTAATTTAAAATATAGTTACTGTCGCCGATAGACTTGATGCTTCCACTGGCGGTGCATCACACTGCTGCCTACTGTAGGGGGCAGCAGTGAATGAAGCGGCTGTAATTGGTGTTTCCGTCGTGCCTTGCTTTTTTTCCGGAAGACGGATGCGGGATCCGTTACAGGGAGGGAAGTGAAAGGTTTAATTAACATAACAAAATGCTGTGTTTCTGTATAGGTTAAAAATTAAAAACAAAGACATTGAAAAGAAGAATGAAAGTGATACCTTTATTGACATTTATTCATGCTATAACATATGGTTCATCAACCAGTTATTTGTGTATTGTCTGCTATATTTAGTAGGCAGCTAGTTATCAATGGGGTTATAGTGTCACTGTGCGGGAAAGCAGTATGTGATTTATGAGTGCTTGTTTTCTTTTAACTGAAACATTACGGAGGTTGTGCTTTGAAATGGACGGAGCTTTAACAGGTAAATACGTTGCCGGTTTATACTGTGTGAGTAAGTGGGTCTGCGTAGCTACTTCATACACTTAAGTGGTGTCATTTTTGTGCACCACATATTCGCTTTGTGTAAAATGTGGTGTTGTTTATTATTATTTAGTAGTAGTAGTAGTTATTTTATTTAGGCTAACCGAATCTCCCTCTGAAGTGAATTTTGATAGTTTTTCAAACATTAAATTCTATGGTTCCTCAGTCATTATGTCCGTACCTACCATCGAGGACGCCGAGGTCAAGTCCTCAGTATTTTTTCTGCAACTAAAATAACCACGATCCATTACTGGGCACACCTAGGAAGGGCAAACAGTTTTGACCTCAGTATTTCAAAAATCTTGGCTACAGCCCTATTTATCATGCAAATGTCTTTCCCTTTTCTCTCATTTTAGACCCTATGTCTGGCTTTACCATTGATATCCAGCTGACGGAGCTAGGCTTTCCAGATCTCTTCCAAAATGGAGACACGCAGAATAAAACTTCATCAGCAACTGCTTCAGATAATTCCTCCTGCACTCTTAAAACTCATCCAAACTCTCAGACCTCCTCTCCTTCTTTCCTCTGTATACATAACAGTTTAACAAATAGCAGTCCTTCTCCCATTACCTGCAATTACACAAATGCACTGCCAGCTAATAACTTTCCTTTAAAGCCTGTGCAGGGCAGTGACAGTTTACCTGATCCCGGTTCCAACACAGACCATGATTCTCATCCGCATGAAAGATTGCAGATCATTGATCCAAAGGATGTCACTGGTCATAAATCTAAACCCAGTCAATCTAGCAGTATGGCCCCTAAATTGGTCTCTAAACCAAAAACTGTCCTTGTGAAAAGAAAAGGTCCACATAAACCCCATAACGGTGATAAAAAGCAAAATGGAAAGGGGCATAAGAAGGATGCTGGTGCAATTGAAATGGAGATGGACTCTGCAGAGACTGATAACAGTGACGCTTCAGAGGAGGATGAAGATGAGGAAGCGGAGATGGCTGTCTCAGGTGTGGTGTTTTGTGCTTCAAGCTGGAAATTCTACTTTTGTTTATTCCTGTTTTTACACAGGTTCACAACAGATTCTGAAATATGTGATATTTCCCAGCAATAGAACCTTGATGTTGAATCTCTTCCTCTCCCTCTTGCATTAGATATCCCAATTGACAGCATGGGGGAGCATTTCTGCAAGGTGTGTAACCTCACCCTGCCCTCTGCATTTCGCCTTCAAGAACACATGCGCCTCCACAGTGGAGCGCGGCCCTATCACTGTGCTGAGTGTGGCAAACAGTTCTGCCACCTTGCCAACTATCGCACTCATCTCCGAAAGCATGCGCAAGCTGCAGGCATCCGCTGCAGGATCTGCAACACCGGCTTTGACATGCTGGAAAGCCTGCAGGTCCACATGGAGTGTGTCCACCTGAGAAAGAGGATCTACCAGTGTGACATCTGTAATCTCATCTTTGGCTGCCTGGAAGAGTGCCAGCAGCACGCAGACCAGCACCAGAATGAGTGCACGCGGCATCAGTGCCCTCAATGTGGCCGCCAGTTCCGCCGGTGCAAATCCCTTCTCCGCCATTTGGAACGACATGAGCGCAGGCCCTCCTATGTTTGCACTGAGTGTGGTCAAGTCTTCCCCAAGAAGACTGCTTTGCTTCGCCACAGCTTCTCACACCTGGGATTGCTGCCGTACACCTGCATCCGCTGCCAGCGCCACTTTCGCTTGGCATCACTCTACCACAAGCACGTGTGTGTGCCGGAGCGGATTCAGTGCATGGCCTGCCTGGCTTTCTTCGACAGCCAAAGGGACTTTGTGAGACACAAGGAGGAGACAGGCTGTTGGGGACACCTAGGTGCCGGGGGGGATGGACTCCGCTGCATGGAGTGCGGGCAGGCCTTTGAGAGCGTGGAAGAGTTGAAGAAGCATGCGGGAGCCCACCAGAGGGTGCTGACATGTTCTGAGTGTGGGAAGGGCTTTCGGTCGTCCCTGCTCCTCATGTCTCATATGGGGGGTCATGCTGGCACTAGACCATGCCTCTGTCAGCACTGCGGATTAGGCTTCCCCCACCAGCAGGCCTACGAGAGCCATCAGAAGCACTGCGGTCGTGTTCTTTCAGGCTCAGTAAGTGGCACCGTGCCTTGGGTTACTCTTCTGAGTGCAACAGTAGGTCTTGCTTTGATTGGGTTTCTCTGGGCACTATTCTTATGTGACCTTATTGTTATCTTTTTACAGGGGCCATCAGGTGCCAATGTGGATCAGTCCAAAAAGAGGTCTATAAGGTCTGATAAGTCATCAGCATTCCAAGATAAGGTGTTGCAACTTAAACTAAATGAAAGTCACCCTCCTGTAGCCACTCTCATTATGATCGTCCCTCTCCAAGCAAGATCCTCTGCTCAGTTGGGTACCACACTGAGCAAGATGGTTCCTCCTGAGGATGGTGTTCTTTGCAAGAAGGAAAAGCTTTCCCCATTAGTGCTCCATGGTCCCTTGGAAGAGGTCATGCAGATGGAGCCAAACGTGGCACCAGAAGTCATGATGGCAGATTGGAGTGTGCTGAAAGCATCCGGTGGGGACAAGAACCGGGTCGATTCCCAGAGTGGGGAAGGACTTGAACTGGAGGTGGATGTTGGAATTAATCTGAAAAGAGAGAGAGAGCAGATGCAGGATGAGGAAAAGACTGATACAAGTGGTCCGCAGCAGGCAAGTGTTCTAATGAGACATAAAACCAAGGATATAGCAAGGGAGGGTACAGCTTATGAGCCGATGGAGATTGTGTTGCCTTCAAAATTGGTAAAAGGAATGAGCCATATGGTTAAACAGGAACATGTATGTGCTAGTAATGTGCAATCTGAAATTGTCTTCTCCCCATTAAGAGCAAAAGAGGAGGCCAATTCCATTATCAATGGGGGCCTTGGGTCGGGTGACCTGATTCAGGCCAGGTGTGAAATAATGTCAGATGAGAGGATTAATGTGAAGCAGGTGGAAGACAGTCATGACAGCAATGATGTGGGGGCAAATGTGGAAGACCGTAACAGTGGAAATATGGAGGATTTTTATTTTGTGGAGGTGGAGGTTTGGGATGAGATGGACAACTCTGGAGATGAACCACATGAATGTGTGAACTGTGGTCAGATCCTGCTGGATGGGAACCTCCTGGAGCACTATATGCAGCATGCTAGCGAGTCAGACTTGCCCTTCCCAGAATCCTCTGCTCCGACCCAGTCTCGGCCTCTGTCGTCCTTATTTCCTTACCCCCCAAAGAGGAAACCGAGACGTCGTGAGCGTCGCTGAAACTCCCACATGCAGTGATGTTAAAGGATGTTCTTCCCGATCATGCCAAGAACTCAAGCTGTACAAGACCATAGTCAGGAAGACAGCGTTATTGTAGTTTACAAATAGCTAATTTTATTTTGAAAGTGATTGGAAGTGATCAGAGTGGAACTCTCCTAAAGTTAAGAATATTCTTTAGAGTAAAAATGTATTGTAACCAAATTGCGACAATAAAATAATGGTTACCTTATTTAATCTCAGACATGTTGTATCACTTATCTGCAGTTTGATTTTGTCCAGAATATGATGTTTGTTCAATATGATAATATAATGTGTTTCCACTGAAGTTTCCTTCAGTGAGCAGTACAGGAAATACCCCTTTCATCAGGGTGGTGCTGTTCGTTTTAGTAAAATGGTTTTTATGCTCTAATCTGAAATGTTCTTCATGCTATTTTAATGTATTTTTGTCTTTTTGGATTTTATTTGTGGATGAGATATATTAAAAGATATCTTTGTGCTGAACCCAAAAGTAGGCAGCATTTTGTCAATCCACTGTAAATGGATTGTTTTAGCTTTTAGAACATCATTGTATGGATGTTGCACCCTATTAAAATGAAGAAAAAAAAAAGATTCCAGTGTTAATTTGGCTGGAAGGCTTTATTACTTTTGCTTGCACTTCTCAATTGCTTTCAGATACAAATACCCCCTTTTTCTCAGTTCACATATTCTATGAAATACACTGATTTAATGAGACTTGTACTTCTAAAGAAATAGTTACTTTTCTAGTCTGTAAGATAACGTGGGATAAATAACTTAAATGATAATATTAGTCAGTCAATTTCAGTTAAAAAAAAACAAAACACTGTTCTGTTTTCTCAGTACAAACACTAATGAATATTGTTTTGTTGTCTTTTTTAAAAATATTTTTACTGATTGTTGTCATAATGAAATTCATATTAATGCACAATTTCTCAGGAGTAGATGTTCATGTTGTATATTTTGCTGTCCTATTTAATGCTTTGATGTATTGCAGGGTTCCTGAAATCCAGTCACATAGGGCCAAATTTCAACACAGTTTGCAGATTTCCCTGTTCCAATGCACCTACTAAACGTGGTAATTAGCTAAGATGTGTCTGAGCAGGGAAATCTGCAAACTGTGCTGCATTCTGGCAGCACAGTTTGCAGGGTTCCCCACCACCGGAACTGGGGAACCCTGATGTATTGGACAAATGGTTCTATGATGGATGGATTTCATAATTAATTACCCTGTAATTATAATGAAAATACAGGCAAAATAGGATGTGGATACATTATGACATATAACTGCCTCTACTTGAGCAAAATGGGCCTATCAATGCACCTCTGTTTATTTGTGAAGAATTTGCTACATTTTTTAATACAAAAATGACTGATATTCGATCTAGTATATCCAAGACATTAGTTCCAATTCAGGATTCTGCACCTTTTAGTCCTCAATATACAATGAATTCTTTTAATAAAATAAACAAAGTTGAGTTACATAAAATATTAAGTTGTTTAGGTAATGCCACATAATAATAATAATTGATACTTTATTGATCACTTTATTGATATTTACAGTGTAAATTGTTTTTATGCCTCCCTCAACTTGCTCTTTGTAGAGCAAGCTGTCTGCGAAGGGCAGCCACCTGTAGCGGCGCCCAGGGAGCTGGGGATTGAGGGTCTTGCTCAAGGAGCCGCAGACGTGCTGAGGCTGGACTTGAACCGGCGACCTTGTGATTACAGGCACACGGCTTAGCCCACTGAGCCACACGCTGCCCCATGTGTTCTTGATCCTATTCCTACTTCTTTTTTTAAATAAGTTATTGAAAATATACTTTTAACGGTTCTCGATATTGTAAATCACTCATTAGCAACAGGCGTTTTCCCCGAAACACTTAAAACAGCAGTTGTTAAGCCCCAACTTAAGAAGCATAACTTGGATAGTTCTATACTCAGTAACTATAGACCCATCTCCAATCTACCTCTCATGAGCAAAATTTTAGAAAAAGCAGTTTTTAAACAGATAAATGACTTCCTCATGGGAAACAATATCTATGAAAAGTTTCAGTCAGGTTTTAGACAAGGGCATAGCACTGAAACTGCTTTAGTGAAAGTTCTAAACGATCTGAGAATCTCTATGGACATGAATAATATTTCTATACTTGTCCTCCTTGATTTGAGTTCTGCGTTTGACACAGTTGACCATGATATACTTTTAAATCGTCTTAAGGAATGTATTGGTTTAACTGCGACTGTTTTAAATTGGTTTAAGACATATTTAAAGGGAAGGCAGTATTTTATTAGCTTAGGCGACCATGTATCAGGAGTATATGATATTCATTTTGGTGTACCACAAGGTTCTGTGCTTGGCCCTCTGTTGTTCTCTATATATATGTTGCCATTGGGTAAAATTATTGCAGAGCACGGAGTCAGCTTCCATAGCTATGCTGATGATACCCAGTTATACATATCTGTAGGACCAGAGGATCCCAGTGCGGTAAATAAACTGGTGAATTGTCTAGCGAGTATTGTTAGCTGGATGAATAGAAATGTTCTGAAATTGAATGAGGACAAGAGTGAAATTCTCCTTGTTGGTAATGAAATGTAGAGAAAAAAGGTTCTTAATAGTCTGGGAAATCTGGCACTACAGACTAAAACTGAGGTAAAAAATCTAGGAGTTATTTTTGATTCTGAGCTTACATTTAAGGCACACATTGACAATGTTGTGAAAACTGCCTTCTTCCACCTTAGAAACAGCTCGTATAAGACCATTTCTTAATCTGGAAGATGCTAAGAAGCTGACTCATGCGTTTATCTTCTCACGTTTAGATTACTGTGATGCACTCCTTATAGGACTGCCTAAAAAAACAACTGAAAGACTACAGCTTGTTCAAAACGCAGCTGCAAGAGTTGTGACTCATGCCAGAAGATTTGAACATATAACGCCCAGTTTAGCAGACCTACACTGGTTACCAGTCTCTTTTAGAATTGATTATAAGATACTTGTATTAGTTTTAAAAGCTTTAAATGGACAAGAGTGTCCATTTAGAGTGTCTGACCAAGTATATTCCAAATAGATCCTTAAGATCATCAGGCTGCACCTTGTTAAACATTCCAATGGCAAAATATAAGAAATACGGAGAAGCAGCTTCTGTTTTTATGCTCCTAAGACTTGGAACAAGCTGCCCATAAATATTCGTCAGGCCTCTTCCCTCAATATCTTTAAAAAGCATCTAAAAACACACTTTTATACTCTGGCTTTTAGTTAGAACTCACTGGGGTTCAGCTGGTCCTCTGGTGGGGGGTGGGGGTCTGTCCTATCTGGCGTCGTTCTATCTCATCGATCCCCGCAGGTCCGTGTCTTTGGGGCTGGGCTGCCGGCCGGGCGTGGATTCTACGCGCTGCCACATTGATTGGTGTGGTGTGTGGCGGGATGGGGGTCGGGTTGGGTTCTGATCGATTTAGGGGGCTGTTTTGGCCGTGCGGGGTTGGCTGTGCCAGGTGTTCTGATCTCGTGGCGTGCTGTACCGGTTGGCGTGGTGGCGTGTGGGGTCTGGGCCTGCTCGGTGGCTTGGTTTTGTGGGCTATGGGCTTGTGAGACTTGAAGGGGGCGGGGGGCTGGATGGGGTTGACACCCCTCTCCCCTCGGTGGGCTGGTTGTGTTTTGGGCAGGGCTGATTTTGCATCGGAGGGGTTTGCGGGGTACCTCCTGGCTGGCATGGTGCATTTAGTGGTTGGCTGATTTGTCATTGCTAGACCTTCTCATTATTTTTATTATTTTCTATTACTATTGATTTTTAAATTGCTGTCATTTTTTAGATTAGTATTATTATGTCTTTATTGCTAGTTTTTACTGTTCTTTTTTATTTGTTTGTCTACTCCCTGTAAAGCACTTTGAGTTACAAAGAAATGTATGAAAAGTGCTATATAAATAAAATTTATTATGATTATTATTATTATTACTTGCAGAGGTGTAAAGTATAAATCCAGACCAAGATTTTGTCTCAGCTACGGCTGGGACGATTATAAAAATGCGTCGACATGGAATTTTAGTTTCAACGCGTTGTGTAAAGCTACGTAAATGTTTAAGTGATAAGCTAAACATATTATCGTTTACGACTATTCTTACCCAATGTAGCTTAAATCGTTCCTTGCTTAACTACAAGCTACCTTTGCTAGTGTTTGTTAAATATGTTTCTCTAGTTATGAAATCATTCCATGTTTTAGCATCTATTTCAACATTAAAGTCAAATTGGTGTACTGAAATAATTAAGTAAAAACTATTGCAGTGATTATTAACTTAAGTCTAACATATAAATCCTATTGAATCTCTTAAGATTTGCCTTTTTTGTTAATAATGCTCTAATGTTTAAGAAATATTTTAATAAATTGAAATGTTAATGAGAATTTCAGATTTGTGTGTGGGGGGAGGGGTGAATTGTATTAAATGACTAACTTGAAAATGATTGTTTAAAGAGTCACTGGTTGGTTGAAACAAAAACTTTATCTGAATTTTCACTTTCTGGATCTGAAATTTCCACCTCTGGTGACTTCTGTTTCTTCGACGTTACCCATCTAATACTGTATGCACAGCCTGGAAACCTGTACATGTAAATGATTCTTTTATAGCTCTCTCTCTCTCTCTCTCTCTCTTTCTCTCTCTCTCTCTCTCTATATATATATATATATATATGTATATATATATATACACACACACACACACTCACCTAAAGAATTGTTAGGAATACCTGTTCACCTGTTCCTGGTCAAGACAATTTCCTGAACTCCAAACTGAATGTCAGAATGGGAAAGAAAGGTGATTTAAGCAATTTTGAGCGTGGCATGGTTGTTGGTGCCAGACGGGCCGG